GGTGAATCTGCAAAATTTACTCTAAGGGTGTCAGAAGACTCCTCAGCTAGGTCACGAGGACTCGCAGGTGTAGGAATAGCTTTGAGTCTTAGGGCAGGAAAATCACTTCTTGACTGGATCCCTGTAGACAGCCGTATGTGTGAGGTCCGTCTGAACGGGTCCATTAGAAGAAGGAAGGACGGCGTTACCCGTCGTTGGCTTTTCGTACTCTCCGCTTACAAGCCAGTAGACTGCAGTTCAGATGAACTAAAGGATGATTTCTACCTGAAACTGTCTAATTTGCTGCAAAAAGCAAAACCTTCAGATATGGTTGTTTTAGCAGGCGACTTTGGTGCTCAAGTAGGAAAGTTGTGCCAGACTGAGAAGTATGTAGGTGGTACACATGGAGTTCCATGCCGGCGATTCGACAACGGTGATCCACTTCTACACTTCTGCTCAGATAATCGTCTGTTCCTAGTCAGTACTAACTTTAAGCACAAAGACAGATACTGCGCAACCTGGTAACCTCCATCACCAAATCAACGCTATACTCAGCTCAGATTGACCACATAGCGATAGGGTATCGTTGGCGAGGGTCAGTAGAAGACTTCTGCTTCTTTTGGAACACGTACGTAAACTCCGATCACGCTCTGGTCCGCACACGTTTATGCTGACGAATAAACAGACATAAGGAATTTGTGGCAACGAAAAAGTTACGTCCCCAACTAGATCCAGACACTGAGTCCCTATTTAAGCAGGAAATAGCGAAACGTGTATCTGAAGTCAACAGCAAGGCTCCCCCTGAGGTAGCCTGGCACAACATACAGTTAGTTAGCTGTAAACACAGCTGGAAAAGCTGTTAATAAGCTAAAACCCAAAGTTAGTAAAAGCCATTGGATCTCTACCGACTCATCCGAACTTACTGACGCAAGAACGCTGATTCCGGGGAGCTCAGATCATCATAAGGAGCGAAAGCTTTTCAAACTCAAACTAAAAGGGAAGCCATCGTAACGACAATGAACAGCTGTGGCTGGCCACAAGAGCGAAAGAGATGGAAAAAGTACCGGAGATCGGTAACACCGGACAACTTTTTAGACTTATCAGGAAAACAGGTGGTAAAAGGGAGACGATAAGTGAAACAGTATCTGAGAAAAGTGGAACCATGATTAGCTCCCATGATAGGCGACCAAAACGTTGGAAAGAACACTTTGACTAGCAGTTTAATTGGCCTACAGCCATACTCAACCTACCGAACATCCAACACCTCCCTGAATGGGATATAAACACAGGTTCACCGTCCCTAACTAAAGTTACTAAAGCCGTCACTAGTCTGAAACGTGGCAAAGCAGTACCACCCGATGGAAGGTTTTCAGACGTATTGAAGTGTGGTGGAGACATTTTACTGTCTGAGTCCAGTAGGGAGAGCTTGGGAATCAGAGATAGTCCTGTCGGGTTGGTGTGAGTCACTGATTATCCCCATATATAAGAAGGGAGACAAGTCTTCCAGTGATAATCACAGAGGGATTAACTTGACTAATGTGGTATCTAAAGTCTTAGGCTCAGTAATAATGAGTAGACTAAGTGGTGCTCGGGAGGCACAAACAAAAGAGAACCAGGCAGACAGGCTTTATATCAAGAACAGGGTGCATTGATCACATCTTCACTCTTCGACAGACGCTGGAACGAAATATGGGCATACTTACCGTCGGAGTCCAGCAATGGTTATATTTGTTGACCTGAAAGCGGAATTCGATTTCGTCGGCCGACAGGTACTCTGGCGATGTTTGGCTGCGAAACGAATGTCGAGAAAATACACTGCACTGATTAAGGCACTCTACTCGAACTCATGCATTCAGCACAGGTGAGAGCTTATAGAGAATTGTCATCTGAAGTGGTGACAACCAGTGGTGTCCGTCAGGGATGGTCGCTATCCCCATTTCTATTCAATTTCATTATGGATATCATACTAATGGACTGAAGCCTAACTCAAATCAGAAACTCAGGCATTGACTTGTTAACAGGGTATAATAGTCTCGTTGACTTAGAATATGCAGATGATATAGTCCTGCTTCCTGAGTGAAGACGGTGACAAAACGCATAGTCTTCTGAACACCTTGAGTTGCAATCTTTGTATGTTTGGCATGCGACTCATTCCCCTCGAAAGCAAGATGATGTTACAGAACTGAAATATACTGACTCCTAGTTTAGAAATACGGAGTGCAGTGGGAAGTTGTATCAGCCAATCCCAAAGTGTTGATCTCTGACGAAATCTCAGCACGGATACAAAGGGCTAATTTCGCATATGCCTACCAGCTTACGAAATCTCTGGCTTAGTAGACGTCATATCCTACTGGCTGTCGACCAAAGGGCGGGTGTACTGCTTAGGGATGTAAAGGAGTGCGTCGGCCAGGGATCGAACCCCGAACCATGTGCATGATCGCCAAGCGTCCTAGCCGCTGTGCCACTGACGCGCCTCTACTAGCTTAGTGATACAATTATTGATCTGATGAATACAATTCCACTAGGGCAAGCTCGTCATTTAATAACACTGCCAAAATTTATTAAATCACTATTATTTCAAATAATTCTGAAGCTTTCATTGGCTTTCTGAACACTAATTCCACTCCCAACTTCAAGTTGAAGTTAGTACTGAAGATGTTGACCCAGTAGGACAATGAGGGCATCGTATAGCTAAATCTTCCAGTTCAAGCTTTAATCACAGATATTTCAAGTAACATTTGTGATTAAACACCAACATCGGTTTATATACAGCCAAAAACTTCGACAACTTATCTCCCTGTATGTATCAGTTATCATTATTAAGGAATAGTGGGCCATTTCACTTCTGTCATAATTCAGCTATTGAGATAGTAGAGAAAACTTGTAGCTCATATGGATGATATTGTGCTCTCTGAGCTGGTTGATTTAACAGTGAAGCCTTCATCATCCTACTTGACAACATCTTCAGCTTTTCTGAAAACGCCTCCCGAATATGATTTCAGGCTACACGACAATAATGACATTGGTAGGAAGTCAGCTGTCCTTATATCAAATGAAGAAATAATAAGATAGCAACAGTAAATTATCTTCTAAATGATCGAATAGTATATAACAATGCTGAACACTCGAAACTGCTTGTTTGGCCGTAGTTAGCAGTGGAATGCAGGAAGCATGTTTCTGCCCACTTGAGACTTATCACTTAGTCAGTGCACTCGTACCTCCGTGACTGGCAGTGTTTCTACTGAGGACCTCCTGAAAATGATAATTAAAACGTGATGCACGAGTGTTAGGTGCAACAAAGCCACAGTGTAGTGAGGACTGGCTGCTAGCCAAATTGGTAGACAGTAACTTACGTCAAGTGCGTGGCTGGCATAGCGGTTACGACGCTCGCCGAACATGGTCCGGGGTTCGATCCTCCTTTAGCTCACTGAGCCAGAAATAATGCTGGCAAAGAGGAAAGGTTGGGCATGAGGCTACCAACCCCATCCTGTAAAAATTAAACACTGCTACAGAAACTTCAAGCCTCTAGCTTGAAACCCTATGTTCCACTGGGGAACGTGAAGGAAAGAAACATACGTCGATGTTTACGTCCTCAATATTGGTCGTGAGAAAATATGATCAAAGACTGATTCAACAACCAACCACAGAAGACTTTGCGTTGGGGGATACAGACATTCAATAAACAACCACAAAGAGATGCAAGGTTAACTTTCAGTGAGAAACAACCAATCAGAAGAGTGTGTTTGTTTGCTTACATAATCTATAAAAATGCACATGAAAATTTACAAATATGTTGATTTCCTTAATAAACAATCTGTTTCCTGGCCCTTGCCTTCTGTTGTTACAACAGTTGATTAGGTTAACAATGATAAGAATCTGTGATTTCCTTGATTATGAGTATGAATCACTCTTTTCATATCAACTGCTTAGTGTGCTTATCGTGATCAGGTATACTTCCACTAAACAATAAATCTAATTTATCTTTTATACAACTACGAAATATCAATTATTTCGAGAAAATTTTGCATGCATCAAGATGTAAGGAACATAACTGGTAAAACCATCCAGTTTAGCAGACAGACGTAGGTGGGGCCAGACTCGAAGCTTGGGAGCCATTCGAAGTAGCTGAAGTCAACTAATTGAACCACATTTCCCTAAAAGGTAAAATCTATTCCATTTTCCATTTGCATTCACAGTCTGTCGAAATCTTCTCATCAGCTATTCAACCCCCTCCTTATTTATACTGGCTACTCAAATAGAGCTCATCAGCGTAACTAGTACTCAATCAGACATACTACTGAGTAGAGTCACTCACAATGAATACACACACGACTGAGACACTTAATTAAAATACTCTGTCTCTCTGTTTTCGACATCGAACTTTGCACCAATGTGAGGCAGTTCAATTCGCCACACTCCCTCCATGTAGAACACAAAGCAAGAGAAGAAAGTACAAGAAATGCATATTAGAGACAGTAAACAGAGGTGTGAGACAAAGGAATAGTAATAACGAAGAACAATATAGTTTCATTAGAAATCATAAGTCACAAGGAGTGGATGCATCTGCACCCGCCATTGAGAACAATTTTGACCCATGTCATCAATTGTTTCCCGCCATTGGTTTTTACCGTCTCGAGGACCCCAACAAGTCAGGAAGTCTACTCCTTCCTACGTGGCTGGCTTAAACTAACTGTTGTAGATGTCATTGACTGGTGAAACCATGTTTTGGTTTGACCGCCACTAGCTCTTTTCCGCATGCGTAACACATGTCCTAACCATCTCGGTCGATGTAATTTCGCAGACTCGTCTATTGATTTCCCCTCCTTACCTAGAAGTCGACGCCAAACCACAATATTGCTCACCTTATTATACCACTTCACACGGGAGATAGAACGCAGGCACCTATGATCAAAGACAACTAATCTTTTCATGTCTTCCACTCTCAATGGCCAGGTCTCACAGCCATAAAGGAGGACGGAGCGAACTGATGAGCAGTACACCCGCCCTTTGGTCGACAGTCGAATATCTCGTCTACGCCAGAGACGGATTAAAATACTCGATAACACGTAAACAATTCAAGCCCTCAGCTGACATCTACGCGATTGATTTACTCGTCAAAATGCACAAGATAAAGATACACTACGAATAAGTCGAAGCGAGCTACAATAACAACCGAGGCAGAACCACATACTCTACAACATCCTATACTGTTATCAATCATGTCACCCACCAACCCACTCACTCGCTTACTCACATCCACCAACCCTTTACGCTCACCTAAAAAAAACAAAAAAAACGCCAACAAACAAACGGATTTTGAGAAATGTGAATTAAACAATGAATGATTAACGCCAAAATAAAGCACGCTGATATAAATATATAAAAAACAAAACAAGAAGTGAATCTTTGTCATAATAACAATAGTAATAATATGAAGAACGGTAAAAAAAATGTACAAAATAGTCTTCCCGAAAGAACTTCAAGCTGTTAATTCATTATTTTTTATTATTACAGGTGTAACAGCAGACAGACAGATAACTCACACAAAAGTCGAGGTGTATGATAGAGTAGAGTGTGCATGTCTGTATGTGTGTGTGAGTAGAAAGGTCAAGGTAGGCGACAATTAGTGTCTTACAAAACGGCTGAACTCTTACAAATATAATAAAAAAAAGTTCTATGATAGTAAAAGTATGAAATGCAAATGTTATGAAAAGTTGACAATAACAACTAAAACATAATTTTTATCATTATTGTTAATACTTTTGATACAATTAAGTAATAGATTTCACTTTATGTAAAAAACAAACAAACATTTGAGATTCAGGAATTATAAAACGAATTTACAAGGCTCCGCATCCTCCTCATCCACCACATCCTCCTTTCTTCTACATATATATACAGAACAATGCTAAAACATCTGTGTGAACACACAATCCACTTGTTGTGAATAATAATTACCACGGAATGGAATGTGTTGATGTGTAAACAACGCCATAATACGAGGTCAGGTCACGTGGCGTTGAACATACATCAGAATGGAAGAGACAAACAGACCGCAGGCAGGCAGGCAGGCTTGAAGGATTTCTCAACTGATGTATGACGAAGTAGTATAGGTATATGATGGTGTTAGGGTGTAAAAACAACCCATCACTACTATTACTACTTTCAGAATTCAATGATATTGGAACTATTGTACAAGAAGCTAGGGCGAGATCATACCGGTATTTCAGTGTGCGAGAGAGAGAGGGCGGGGGAGGAAAAGTAGAAGACACTGTACTGTACACACACATATGGAATACATATATACATATAGCCATAGAAACAACATGCCTCTACACACACACACACACACACACAATAAACACCTCATTACACGAAAGATAATTTTTTTTGAAAAACCTGAGCAAATTGTTTGTTTTTTTTAACGACAAAGGAAAATATAACTCTGAAAAAAATAATTAGAAAAAAATAATAATGATAATGCAAAAAAGAGATGAAAATAATAATAATAATAATGAATAAGTAAGTGGATGAATGAATAGTTAGTTGATTCTGTTTTAGTTTATATAATACAAAATCCGAAAACATCTATCGATAAATAAATTTACAATCAATTTTATATGCATATAAATCAGATTCACAATATCAGATAGTGTTTTGTTATTATCAGGGGGCGGCAGGGATCAGGGTTGAAGTGGGATCTGATGGGATGACTTTGGGAGGTGGACAGAAGGAGTCACAATCGACAACTCAGTACACTGATTATTTGTCGATCGATGTATTCAATGAGCTAAAAACGCATCAATATTAATGGCTTGATTGTAGGTGGACAATAAAACAGGACCACTACCACCATCATATGAACGGATAGATGATCGACGATTCGACGACACTGATTTACTACTACCGCTCAGTGGACGATCAAATTCCACTGCCACATCATCATCAACAAACAAATCATTCACCGCCTTTATTTGTTCTGCTTCTTCTTCTTCTTCTCCTCCTCCTCCTTCGTCATCTTCTCCCTTCTTCACCTTCAATTTAACATCACAATGATAATCACCAATGGGATATGAAGACATTTTTCGATTTTTTGGCTTACTTGCAGTTACATGATCCCCTAATAAACATGAATCTGTTTCCGATTGACCTGTCTGACTGAATAATAAAGATGCAGCTGCTGAAAGTATTTCACCTTCATCAAAACCACTAACAGTAACATTAGCAGAAGTGGAATTGGAAGACTGTGGCACAGAAGAACATGTTCTACTCGGTCGAAATGGACTGTTGATTAAATGGCAAGAGGAGGAGGTGGTAGAACAGGAGGAGTTAAGCGGTGATCCATTCACCATATCTTCTGTTAAGGCGGTAGCTGCTACCCAATCTTCATCAATTGGAAAATTAGAATGATTAAATTGGGTATTTGGATCATTACTGTCATCCTGTTGTTGTATAATGCTTGACGATAAACGTTCATTGAATGGAGGAGATGAATAAGGAGGAGGAGAAGTAAGTGGTGAAATACCCGACAAAGGATTACGAGACCACCAACGACGCCGTAAACGCCAAGCACTTCTACAGGCTTGTGAATCATCATTTTCTGGATCTTCTATATTATCACAAGCATTTTGGTAAATATAACCCTCATCAATGACAATTTGGTCAACATCTGTGGCAGTATCCACCTGTAGCTGTACATCCGCAGCACTTCGTTTTCGTTGTATGCACTTCTCACGAATTGACGGATAACTGGACATTATCGTTTCTGAGGATCGATTATGCCTTCCATTACCAGCCTTATTTGATTGTCTTATACGATAATTAGGTGAAAATGGGACATTGTAAGAAAGGGGATCTGAAGATGTCGCAGCATCTGGCCAGCATTCCGAATTTAAATTATCCTCTTGCATTGATGGTTCTAAAAAGTTAAGACGATGGCCCTGTTCTACGCGTACTGGCACCGAACCGTCATCTTCACCACGATAAAGGGAGAGTCGGTTATGATTAATTCCTGAATAGAATTCTGTTGAAGTTAGACGATGCTTTTTGCTACCATTCGAATGTTTCTCGGCACAATTTCTCACTAATACATACAGCTCACCAGCTGAGAAACCCAAAAGAGTTTTTAAATCACAGATGAATTTGTAAACAAAACGTTTTCCATGAACCTACAATGAGAAAATAATAAGCAAATTTAACAAGTAATTCAAACAACTCACTATTCATGCAAGTTAACACGGTCAAGTGCTTGAATTAAATTTGGTAATCAAGCAGAAATTCTCAGGCTTTATTTGAGAAGTCATTCAAAGTTCTTTCTACACAAGATCTGTGGTTAAACTCTGCTCAAAGGAAATGAGATCATGACATTTGAGCATAGCTGAGGCACTAGAGACCCAAAAAATATTCAAGCCAACGCTATGTATTCCAAAGGAGTACGTCTAAACTTTGTTCATACACCATAGCCACTACAAACAGTTGTTTCCGTAATAATTATTACCTGATTTTATACTTTTTCGTCTAAAGTCGCTGTTTATTCCTCTAAGTATCACACGCTTTTAGTCCCCACTTGTAATCTTGTTATAAGCTAAATATTTCTGGAAATTTTACATCTCTTGACTATATATACATGAGAATACATTCTAGTTGATGACTTTGTCGAGATCTTCTTCACTGAAATCGTTTTTTTATGTATTTTTTCTATGAATATGTCTAAAAAGTCACTTAGAATCTGAGCATTACACATCATGCTCTGCAAACATTTATTCCAGGAACTCTTATTCTCTTCATTAAAATCTAATCTGGTAAACAAACCAAAAAATAAATATTCCACAAGGTTAGAAATAAACACGATCCTCTCACATTAAAGCGTCGTTCAGTAGGTCAAAGATCACCGAGATACTTCCGAGATAAGAATACAACTAAGAATCGAATTATTGAGTCAAACCAAGAGAAAGCTGCTACTTTATACACATAATGCATTTCATACCGTCTACCCACACTCATATAGCATACTTTATCCTCAGGTTTGTGGAAGGAAGGCAATCTAGTCACATGAGTGATACATCCGAATAGATTTCCAAATCTTTTCCGTTATGTTTACGTCATTGGACATTACAATGTCAAATGTGATATGCGGTGGAGGTGTTCCTTTCAGAAGTGAAAGGGCGAATGTGAAAGTCTGGAGGACTGAAGGGTGTGGAAGACCGGCTAGGGGAGTTGGAAACTTCTGGTTCTAAGCTTATTTTGTACATGGGCTTCAAGAATTCAAAGGGATCGAATGGGGTATGAACCTGTTTAGGTCGCCGTCAACCGTGGAAAAGTAGCTTCTTACACCGTCTCACTAACTTGTGAATCGGGCGTTAACTAGAAAGCACCGGCAATCGCTTCTTATGACAACAACCTACCTACTTCCGTCTGGCAGTCCAGGACGTATTTTAACTCTCGCACACAAAGAGCATGATACTTCGGCAGGTGAATCTCTCTTAATGCTCATAATGTACGAAGTCTGTGCTCTCGCAGTAGTATTGGTAACTATGTCATACGTAAATAAATATAATATAATAGCATGACCATGTATGTTTAACTCAAATTCGTATTTAATACAGAAAGTCGAATAAATCTATCTATCTATCTATCCCTTCAGTAATAAATGCACACATGAATACACACTACAGATTACCAGACAAATGTTACATATAAACGAAAAATCTCTTAACACGATAAACGGCATATGTTAGTGAAAGCAAATCTATAAAAACCAGATACCTTGGAAATCATATCACCATCATAATAGTAACGTAATGCACGAGATAATTTCTCATAATTCATAGCAGGTTTATTCTTACGATGACCCCACATAGAAGCTACTTCTTCTGGATTACTTAATTTGAATTCACCATCATCACTGATCCAGTGAATAGCTTCACGATATCTCCAGTCTGTAAGTAATTCTAGCAAGAATTGCCACAGCTGAACTTGTCCTGCAGTGGTGGCATCGAATTCAGAAAACGATTGATATTTCACGATTTTTTGTGAGGTAGAATTACCACCATTATTTTGAGTTAATATAAATGGACCCTATGAAAAAAAATAAACAAATTCATTGATAAAAAATAACGAAGATGTGAAAGTCTATCAACTTTCAATTGCCAACTGATCAGCGAGCATGAGCTACTGCACTCACTCATAGATTCAGTCAATTATTACGCCATTCGCATTATTTATTCCGATTACATCAAATTATTACAAAACAGATCCTCTGATCATTTAGGCTGGTGTATCTCATAGTTCAACTTGGCAGACAACATAACTCGTAAAGTTAGCCAGTAACACGTGTTAAAGTACTCATTTCCGTAGTAGCGTGTGCATCGCGATATGCATGCTATTCAGACTGATTTTAGTAGTCTTCACTGTCCTCTCTTAACCCTCAAATCTATGTGAGGTTTGAACTCAATTCCTGGAACAGATCTTTGTTCCTTCAGGTCATGAGCAACACTTATCGTATGATCGCCAGTGATATCACCCAATTTCCTAGGCTGAAGTGGGTTGGAGGGGACTTGAACCTGGAAGCTACAGACAGGAAGCTGAGAGCTTAAGCCAGTGACCTAACATCTCAAGATGTGCGGAAACTAAGACATGACTGGTTATTGTATGACATAGAAATATTTACGATTGTCACACATTTGTACACATATATAGATACCACCTATAACACAATCATATTCGCTAACTCCACACGATATGAGACAGCCATCACGCTACACAGCTAGCTTGCTTTCATTATAAATAATATTTTCGATGAGATTGGTTCGCTCTCCCTTTCCATCTTTCTGCACTCAAAATTGTCTATATTCTCCTTTCTCCGTCAGCGCCTAGTTATCCCATTCACGCTTACAGCATAAGACCCACTAGTTGTGCAACAGATTTTGCCGTGCCTATACACTGCACCAAGCCCGTAAACTTTGCACAAATAAATAATTCTTCGTCATCTACAATTAAGAAGGTTTTCACTTTGAAGTCAAACCGTCGAAGTCGACCGTGAAAGCCATCCTATCGTCCGTCAATAATAAATACGAAGAAAGTCTGTTGACTAGTAGAAAATAAAGTGTAAACTCGGCACATAGTCATAGTCTCGATCAAAACAGGTTCAGGGACGTTGAGGTAATCTCTGGAATCCCCAAGTGACAATTCTGTATGTCCATAATACCAAGCAGTCGACGTCCAAAATCCACAGTAATGTTACCATTTAAAGACCTAAACTGACATTTTTTGTAAACTCAGCTAGTAGGAGACAATACGCCTATTCATAAACAATTCACTTCTACGAACGATAAACTTTGTGTGGTAATCCTGTGAAAATATTCACATGAAATAGGAGTCAACTAGGAAAGAATAACATCCCCATTCCTCTCCCCATACTTATCTAGAATGAGATGCATGAAAGCCATTCAAATAAAGCAATTCAGTAATCAAAACATACAACTCAAGGAAAAAAAACTTCTTACGCGTATCAGTTGACCCCCACCAGCAGCCACACTACTCACACCATTTGATAACGAACGTATTCCAAACAAACGATTATTCATTGTCTCATAATTGGTTGGATTTTGGCTTATACAATTTTCACTACTCAGAAATGATCTCGACGTCACTGTTCTTCTTCCTGGCGTATTTGAATCATTATACGATAAAAAGGTTGGCTTCGAATTCACTATGCGTAAATTCGTATTATTTCTATCGTAAGCAGTTATGGCGCCAGAATAGGCCATGCCTGCTAAAGTGAGCACAAAAAAACCAACGAAATACCTAATATGGTGCATAGCATCCACATAAGAATCATACGACAATGTACAAGTAAACACCAATTAAAAGTTACTCTCTACATACTACACTCTAAGGCCACATGTAATATTCAAGGACTTACTCTATTATCACTTGTGTTAAGGTCTTAAACAATGAGTTACACCTGATGTGATCGATTTCTCAAAGGCACACACACTATACACAGAACTGAATTCCAACTTCACACTCATTAATTAAAACTCAATAAGCTATACACCTCAATCGATCTCGCATAACCAGTTACCTAGACGTGTTGACGACCAATACTTAAACTCCATCGAATGAAGAAAAGCTTACTACAACACATGTAGATTACAGAAGAAAGGCAACACTGACATATTGAAAAGTGAAGTAGGTTACTCATAACCCAATCCAACATCATGTCCAATACAAAATTACAAAATTTCATGCCGGATCGGCCGTGGCCCGGATTAACAACGACCGCGCTTCCTGCTGCCGTGTCACAGGGCGGGAGTGATAAATCTGCTACTGAGACACACCAAACAAAAAAGAACGAACAAAAACAGGCCGCGTGTGACCGGCCTCAAGCAGTTGTCCCCTGGGCTCTGCGGTCACGCAACCAACTTCCACGGTGTGGGCAGCCGGGAAGTAACAATCGCCCTCACAATCCGAAATGCACACGAAACCTCTCTATTACTCACTCATCTTTGTCTTCATCTTCATCTCTATCATCTTGCCTTCCTTCCACTGATGCAACTCCTCGACTTGATAGCTCTCCACTTCCTCTCCACTCTGCGTCCACTAAAAACGATGGAAGCCAAAAAACCACCACCGACAGCCTCTTAAAGCCGCGCCACCAATTTCATATAGGAGCTCTTAATGTTAGGACACTTTGCCAAATAGGACAACAAGCATCACTAGCCAAGACCCTGGCATCACGAGCCATTGATGTATGCTGTGTTTCAGAAACACGCATACAAGACCCAAGTGTGGTTATTCACCTAACCCCACCTGGCCAACAGGTTGAATCTGCAAAATTCACCCTGAGGGTGTCAGGAGATGCCACAGCTAGTTCACGAGGATTAGCTGGCGTAGGGATAGCTTTGAGTACTAGGGCAGAAAAGACATTGCTTGACTGGATCCCGGTAGATAGCCGAATGTGTGCTGTCCGCCTGAACGGATCAGTAAGAAGGAGGAAGGACTGCACTACTCGCCGATGCCTTTTCGTAATCTCCGCCTACGCCCCCACTGACTGCAGTTCAGATGAAACGAAGGATGAGTTCTACCAAAAGCTGTCTAGTTTGGTGGAAAGGCTAAACGCTCAGACATAGTCGTTCTAGCTGGTGACTTTAACGCTCAAGTAGGGAAATTGTGTCAATCTGAGAAGGATGTCGGTGGCACCTATGGAGTCCCGTGCCAGCGAACCGACAACGGTGACCGTCTCCTACAGTTCTGCTCTGATAATCATTTGTTTCTTGTAAGCACTAACTTTAAACACAAGGAGAGACACTGTTTGACTTGGAGACCCCCTTCATCAAACCAACGCTGGACACAAATAGACCACATAGCAATAAGCTATCGTTGGCGTGGGTCGGTAGGAGATTGTCGCTCCTTCTGGAACACGTGCGTAGATACCGACCATGCACTGGTCCGCGCTCGGGTGTGCTTACGACTGAACGGACGTAGGAAACAGCTGGCGGTAAAACCATCACGTCCCCAGCTCGATCAGGAAACTAAATCCGTATTTCAGGAAGAACTAGCTAAACACATATCTGTGTTCGACAGCTGTGCTCACCCTGAAGAAGCTTGGAAAAATATCCAGGCAGCCATAGATACAGCTGTAAAAGCTGTGAATAAGGTAAACCCAAAGGTGAGTAAAAACCACTGGATCTCCACCGCCTCATCCGAACTGATAGATGCTAGAAGACTTATTCCGGCGAGCTCCGAATTCAATGAGGAGCGAAAGCTGCACAAGAGGAAACTTACGAAAAGTCTCCGCAAGGACCGTGAACAGTGGTGGGCGACAAAAGCCAAAGAGATGGAGAAAGCTTTGAGGATAGGCAACACCAGGCAACTCTTTGGACTCATCAGGGAAACGGGTGGGAGAAGACAAATCATTAGTGAGACAATCTCGGAAAAAAATGGCACTATAATTAGCTCACAGGATAGACGACTGGATCGTTGGAAAGAGCATTATGAGGAGCAGTTTAATTTGCCCACAGCCACGCTCAACCTTCCGAGCATCCAACACCTCCCTGAATGGGATATAGACACAGGTCCTCCGTCACTAACTGAGGTTACTAAAGCTGTCACCAATCTGAAACTAGGCAAAGCAGCGGGACCTGATGGAATGACGCCAGAGGTATTTAAGTACGGTGGAGACAGCTTACTGTCCGGATTAACTGAGGTACTAGGCAGCGTCTGGGAATCAGAAGAAGTCCCATCGGGTTGGTGTAAGTCACTGATTATCCCCATATACAAGAAGGGAGACAAGTCTTCCTGTGATAATCACAGAGGGATTAGCTTGACTAATATAGTATCTAAAGTCTTAGGCTCAATAATCATGCGTAGACTGAGTGGTGCTCGGGAAGCACAAACACGAGAGAGCCAGGCAGGCTTTAGACCAGGAAGAGGGTGTATTGATCATATCTTCACCCTCCGACAGATTCTAGAACATAGGCATTCCTACCGGCGTCCAACAGTCATTATATTTCTTGACCTAAAGGCAGCATTCGACTCTGTCGATCGAGAAGTTCTCTGGAGATGCTTGGCTGTAAAGGGAATTCCAAGAAAATATATTGCACTGATTAAGGCACTCTATTCGTACTCATACAGCCAGGTGAGGGCTTACGGCGAGCTGTCATCTGAACTGATGACGACCAGTGGTGTCCGTCAAGGATGCCCATTATCTCCTTTTCTATTCAACTTCATCATAGATGTGTTAATGGACTTAACCCTAGGTGACTTCAGCGACTCAGGAATTGACTTGCTACCGGGAATAATCTCGTTGACTTGGAATATGCAGACGATATAGTCCTTCTAGGCGAAGACGCTGACGAAATGCAGAGTCTTCTAAACACCTTGAGCCGCAATCTACGAATGTTTGGCATGCGATTCGCTCCCGCCAAATGCAAGATGATGTTACAGGACTGGACTACATCGACGCCTAGTTTAAAAATAGGAAGTGAAGTGGTAGAGCACGTTGACCGCTTCACTTATTTGGGAAGTACCATCAGCCCCAACGGGCTGATCTCTGACGAAATCTCAGCACGAATACAAGGGGCTCGTTTCGCATTTGTTAGTTTACGCCGACTCTGGCGTAGACGAGATGTTCGACTATCGACCAAAGGGCGGGTGTACTGCTCATCAGTCCGCTCCGTCCTCCTTTATGGTTGTGAGACCTGGCCACTGAGAGTGGAAGACATGAAAAGACTAGCTGTCTTTGATCATAGGTGCCTGCGTTCTATTTCCCGTGTAAAGTGGCATAATAAGGTGAGCAACATGGAGGTTAGGCGTAGAGTTCTAGGTAAACAGGGGAAATCAATCGACGAAGTCGTGAAGCTACAAAGACTGAGATGGTTAGGACATGTGTTACGTATGCCAAGCCATCGCCTCCCTCGACGAGCAATGTTAGCGGATATAGGGTCAGGCTGGAAAAAAGCTAGCGGCGGTCAAACAAAAACTTGGCATCAGTCAATGAAATCCACAACAGTTGGTCTAAGCCACGTAGAAAGGTGTAGACTTCCAGGCTGGGGTCCTCGGGACGGTAAAAATCTATGGTTGGAAACAATTGGTGACATGGCTCAAAATCGTTCTCAGTGGCGCAGATGCATCCACTCCTTGTGACTTATGATCTTCAATGAAACTGTTTTGTATTTCTTTATTACTCCTTTGTCTCACACCTCTGCTCACTGTTTCTATTATGCTTTTCTTGTACTTTCTTCTCTTGCTTCGCGTGCTACACGGAATGTGGCGACTTGAACTTCCGCACATTTGTGCAAAGTTCTATGTCGAAAACAGACAGACAGACATAACTCTTTCAAACTCTCACAAATCATCATGTAGACAAGTGAGCAAGATTTAGTTTGCACTCGCACAAATTTATGCGCGATTTAGCTTCCTGAAGTCAAATCTTTGTGTGTGTCGTAAGTCTGTCTGTCTGGATTCAGCATAGAACTTGGCACCGAAGTGCACCAGTTGGAGTTGCCACGTTCCAAACAGCACACAGAGGTAGACAAGAAGATGAGTGAAGAGAATCAATAAAATTTGACAAGTATAAGAGTGAAACAGAATGGGTAATGGTAGAAAGGAATATGAAAGATTACAGAGACTGAATACATCTTCGCTGGCCATTGACAACGATTTTGAGCCATGTCACCTATTGTCTCCAGTCATTGATTCCTAGAGTCCCGAGGGCGCCAACCCGGAAGTCCGCATCTCCCTCCCTACCTGACTCAGTTTAACTGTCAAGGATTTCATGGATTGATGAGGCCATGTTTTTGTTTGACCACCACTTGCTATTTTCCAACCTGCACACCAATATCAGCCAGTAATGCCCGGCAAAGTTAAACTTTCGACACCACTAACAACCAATCAGTAAACGACCTTGAACGGATCAATCACATTAAAGAGGCATTTACGGTAAATGGAAACGTATATTTATAGAAAAAAGCATAAAACGGTTACAAGGGGTATCTTTCTTGAACATGTGAGAGAAACATCTCCCAGTTTAGCATGGCACTGTCAATGGAGAAGTCATACCACATCCTGTACATATATTCATCTAAATGACTATAAATGAGATGCTTTAAAGATCCATTTATAGCCCTTATCCTGTTTTCCAAGCGGCCCCAAAACCCTTTAATGGAATTCGTATGAGTCCTCGTAACAGGATCCACCCAGCAAACAAGTGATTTTCTCTATTTTCCACGAAGCAATATCTCTGCAATGCTGGTACCACTGAACTATTGAAACGAGGCTATTCTCCGTCCCGGCAGCTGCTGCTCTCATCGGCTATTTCAAAACCCAATAGTTGCAGATATACAAAATCTGGGTTGGGGAGAGATGCATTTTTTCGAATCCCACAAGGGACATGAGTTCCTTCAAGGTTGCAGATACGCCTTGTTGACTGATTGGTCAGTGCCAACTAGCGCGAAACCTAGCTCGGCTAGGACTTCCTGCCTCCAACCATCTAATATTCATTACTCCCATCGGTTTTTCCTATCCTAAGTACCAAATAAGGATTTCAACCGAACTCCTACTACTTCGCTACTACGGGGTGCCATCGACAATTATACATCTCATCCAACAGTTATACGACAATGCTGCACTGCATGCCACGTAATCCACAACGGGAAACTTACGGAAGCCTTCGAAGTGAGGACGGGAGTGAGGCAAGCTGGCTGTCTACTATCGCCAATGATCTTCCTGATTGCAGTAGATTGGATAATGCGACAGACAAGGGCAACCAACGAGGGAACAGGCATAAAATGGACTCACACAAAAAATGGACTTGGAGGATATGGACTTCGCCGATGATATATGTCTGATTTCACACAAACTGGAAGATATGCGAGTGAAAAGCAACAAGCTGGCAGAAGAAGCATCCAGAGAAGATAGGACTTCCTCCAGGTGAACATAGATAAAACAGAGGTGATGAAGATTCCTAGCCAACACCAACAGGAACAACAACAACAGACAACAATCAGCCAGCATAAGTGGGAGGAACCTGAAAGAAACAGCCTCCTTCACCTATCTACCTACCTGGGAAGCATCGTTTCAACTACAGGCGGACGGAACTGACGAGGATATTAAAGCCAGAATCAGAAAAGCAAGACAAGCCTTCATTACTCTCAAGTCTGTGTGGAGGTCAACAGCACTCAGCATCAAAAATAACATCCGGATATTTAACCCCAATGTGAAGTCAGTGCTACTATACGGACCAGAGTTTTGGCGCGTCATAGAGAGCATCTCAAACAAACTTCAGACCTTCCTCAACAGTTGTCTTCGCTCAATACTCAAGATCAGACGGCCGGCCAGAAAAGATCAGCAACAGGGATCTCTGGCAATGAGTGAACCAACCCAACAGGAACCGATTGTGAAACAAATAGGCAAGAAGAAATGGATGCGAACTGGATTGGCCATAGCCTGAGGAAACCATCGAGTGAGTGACATCACTAGACAAGCCATTACTCGAGTGGAACCCGAAAGGGAAGCGGCGAGTTGGTCGTCAGTGCGAAGGTGACTTGGAGGAGGTCATGTGAAGAGATGAAAACATGTGGGCAGACTTGGAGCGGGGTGAAAAAGTTGGTAGAAAACCGAAGGCAATGGAGACGCACGGCTGAAGCCCTATGTTCCTCTAGGAATTAAAGGATATAATAATAATAAAACATCACTGATGGATAACTTGTGGGCTGACCGTGTAAGGCATGCCGCTACGCTATAACAACGTATTAGATTAAATGTCCCCAAGTTCTACTTCAATAACTTATAATGTCATCAGTTGACTTGTACAACAGACAAACAAACAATCTACCAATTTAATCACTTACTTCCATTGAAATTCCTACTCTGATTGGATTCAGTTAAGTTTCTTGAGCTGCGTATGCGAGCCCGTGACACCTGTCTATACGGCTTTTGTGATTGGTTCGTGGTTTGTTGTGGCGGTTGTGGATTATAAGGGACACCTGAAATAAAAAGTGGATGGCTTGTGATTAACTAATATCAACTGGAACGCACAATATGCACTACTCAACAAAGATAACATTAAACAAAATAGTTAAAATAACTCGTTCTCTTCTTCAAACATTCATCACATCACATGTCCCACCCAATAAATTAATAAACAAACATGTAACCTGAACTGAAGTAAACTGAAGTTTTGACACTGAACACAGCATAACAGTGAGGCAGTAATTCAAGTTAATACACTTAATGAAACACACATAAATGTCGGAGGGGAAAACTAAATCACTAATCTGTGTATTCGTAGAGATTGAAAAGGACCTTTAACAATCTCTATCTGTCTGTTTTCGACATAGAACTTTGCAACCAAGTGCGGCAGGTCAAGTCGCCACACTCCCTCTTTGTAGCACACAAAGCAAGAGAAGGAAGTAGAAGAAATGCATCATAGGGACAGTGAACAGAGGTGTGAGACAAAGGAATAGTAGTAATGAAGAACAAAACAGTTTCATTGGAAATCATAGGTCACGAGGAGTGGGTGCATTTGCGCCAACCAATGAGAACGATTTTGAGCCATATCACTGATTGTCTCCAGCCATTGGTTTTCACCATCCCAAGGACCCCAAGGAGACAAGAAGTCTACACCTTCCTACGTGGCTTAGACTAACTGTTGTGGATTTCATTGACTGGTGAAACCATGTTTTTGTTTGACCTCCGATAGCTTTTTTCCAGCCTGACCCTATACCAGCTAACATTGCCCGTCCAGGAAGGTGATGACTAGGCATGCATGCGTAACACATGTCATAACCATCTCACTCAGTCGATGTAACTTCACAACCTCGTCGATTGATTTCCCCTGCTTACCTAGAACTCGACGCCTATATTGAGGTTAGGCGCCTAACCTCAATATAGGCGTCGAGTTCTAGGTAAGCAGGGGAAATGTGTCATCAACAGCCGCCAGCCACAAACATCGTAACATGTGAAGTGAAACTAGTGCATCTTACATAACACTTATTCCAATAACAATAATCTACGTCAATATTCTAAGGTAGTTTACATAGGAAAATGAAATTGCGTAGAAACAGCCATTATTTATCGATCTAATTTGCAGTCTTTAAGCTAGACAACGTAACCCTAGTCTAGTTAGTATATTCACACACACACACACACACACACATTTGGTCCACAAAATCATCGAATATATCATACAACAGAGGGGAATAGTAAACTAACTACACTTACAAACATTTCGACATCGTTTCAGTAATTCCAAGTGGGTTAGAAAATTCACATTAGCATTGGGGACCAGACGTCGCCAATCATCTGCTGTTAAAATAAACATACTAGAACCTGGCATATTGAACAACTTTTCACTCTTCAGACCTTCAATTCGAAATTGTTTACACGCCCAGTTTATCCACATGATAACCTGAAATAGAAATAAACAAAAATGACATGATGAAGTCACACTGACGATCACTACTTAATGCCACACTGTTCATGGTGTGAATACTGGCAACAAATCTCTTTCTCAGTTTCATGAAAGTATGCAGGTATAAGAATTGATTTACTTTTAACTGTTCACTACAAATGAAACGGCACAAGCACAAAGCCTCAAGACGGTTAGCCAATAAAACATAACAACATAACATCTACGGCCAACTCGAGTCTTTGAAAATAAAAAGTCAACGCTTAGTGGATTTGAAAAATGCGAAACGCAAGTGTGTTATCAAAGGGCATATAATCACTTCTCACATTCTGAAATCTATGCGTACACCGTTCTACCTAACACCACAAATTTCAAACTTATTCACATAATCAACTGTCTCAACGACCAGTTCAAGACAGAAATTGGCGGTATCCACAGGAACACGGATACCTAATTAACTAAGATCGTCTTCACACATTTCATAGACACATTTTCAACTTCAAATATGCAGCAAACATATAAAACTAGCATGACAATAGCCCAAAATCATAACTGTCCTGACAACTATAACTGTCATGTGATAGTCATTTTAACGCAGACACGCATCACCAGCAGCTTACTGTATTCAATATTTATTTGCTTTCTACTGTATATGTAGATATGACTCATAAAACATTTTTCATATTGCCTTAAGCCCATACCTTACAAACAGACCGAGTTTTAAGACGGTAGACAGTGTGACACACGTTGCTAGGCTACTCAAAAACATTAGGAATATATCTGTCCAAATACTAGTTCACTCATAATTTGTGTGTGTGTGACGTCAATACCACTTGTGAGGAGGATGGATAAACACACTTACCTGCAGGCAAATTAAATCACATGACAGTATGAAGCCTTCAAAAGACATGCAGCGACGAGTCAACTAGAATCACGACACAACTGTTGTAAAGCATTTCACTGTTGTACCAACCTGCCTTACATCCTCACTCATTAAATCTTATATCCACTCACTCGACACCTCTAACCTGATTACCACCACCAACAAGGAGCTCTTGTCAACTTTGCTAACATGCTAAAGTCTGTTCATTTTCGCCAACATTTATTCACACTTATGTTCAAATAAGCTCGACGATGCGACTCATTCATTCTTCAGCTACACTAACAAACTATTCAAACCACACTCTATCTTGTTAAACACAAAAACCAGTATTTTATGGAACATTCTAATCCCAGTAGTGTAAAACATACATACTGAAATCGAATGGGAGAAATCAGGACGAAATAACATGAAAAATGCGCCTACCTGTGTTGAATTCCACTCGATAGGATCGCGTGGAATATCATTCATATCCATTAATCGACTATAATGATTATCCGGAACCCACTTTGATAAGTTGTCTAAATTATAAGCTCCAGTTGTCCCTCCACCTTCAATCTCAGATCCAAAATAACCACAACGTGATGAAATTGATTCGGTCATGTTGTATGATTCTGGGACAACACCTTCTTCTGATTTCCTATCATTTTCACTTAGTGCTGACGCTGATTCCAATAGTCCCGACCCGCCTGCAGCAATATCAGAGGCTGCAGCTAAAGCCGCAGCGACTGTACGTGGAGATATGCATTCTGATTTCGGACTTGACGGTTGTTGAGCATTTGATAACTGATCATTTTCACTCCTGACTTCCTCATTTTTCGTTGTGTTTGTATTAGATGGCTGGAGAGAACGAAGGGTAAAATGGAAGTTGGACATAGGAAAATAAATCGCTTCACCAAAATATTATTAATAGTATATCAAATAGAAACGTGACTTTTCCCATAGTTTAGGCAAAAGATTCAAGATACACCAATTAGGGTCTGAAGATTGCGTCAATCAACTCTTACGTTTGAAGAATCTATCAAATTCCTTACTGCAAACACTTTCATGAAAAGTGAGTTTTTGTAGAAAGCTAATTTATGCACACAGAACTATTTATTCAGAGAATACGAATACTAGCCAGTTTCCCGCGAAACAATATACACGAACAGAGTGAATTCGAAAAGCGCAAATTCACGAGGATTATTTCATCAATCACATTTCCACAGCCTATATGAGGCATAACCTAGTAATTAAGAAAATCTTGGGAACGATTAGAAAACTAAACTACCAGAAGATATGAAAACCATTCTATCAACATACTTATAGCGTTATTTTTATATAAATTCGGTAGCAAAGCTCGTAATGTACTATACAGACACTATCAAACACACAAAAATTTTCCATCCAAGTTGACTGAAAAACGATGAGATAATAGTCAGAGCACTAATTTTTTTTACTTAATGATGTTTTTATGAAAGGCAGTAGCAAAGCGTGACAATACAGATAAAGTCATTGTTGTGAACTCTTCTTATAATACGTATCTAATCATATTCATATCTCTACCGTTATTAACACTCTTTTTTCCCTTTATACGTTTAAGCCATTCCGGCTTCATTGTAAAATGAATAAAGCCTAAATTCTTGGTTCATTCGTCTTTTCAAGATTCAAGCATCACTCATCGTTCTAAGACTCAATCACCTTCGTAACAATTTATTCATTTTACAATATTCATGGAACGATTTTTCCGACCTGATCGGTTCGACGTAGAACCTAACGCAGTTGGAGCTGCCAAGAAGTGGGATCACTGGTTTGCGACTTTTTCCTACTTCATTGAATCAATGGGATCCGAAAATCCTTCGAAACTACATATTCTCTTCAATCATATTTCTACTTCTGTATACGAATGCATTTCTGAATGCAAAACATACGAAGAAGCTATCGACACTCTCAAGAGTCTCTACATGCAGCCTTGCAACGAAGTGTTTGCTCGACACTTGTTAGCAACGTGTAAACAAGAATCTGGCGAAAATCTGGATCAGTTTGTTCGTCGACTCAAGTCGCTGACTACAGATTGTTCATTCAGGGCAGTTACAGCCGAAGAACATCGTAACGAATCTCTACGTGATTCATTCATCTCAGGTATACAGTCTTCGATGATACGCCAGAGGCTATTAGAACAGCGTACTTTAACTTTTCAAGCGGCATACGATCAAGCACGAGCTCTAGAGATGGCACATCAACAATCGCAGTCATACAACAATCCTGTTACACCTTGCGCGTCCATTTCTTTACATGATGTACCTCATTCATCAGATTCCACACCCTCCGTCAATGAAACAACCATTGCTGCCGTTGAATCCAAATGCTTTTTCTGTGGTAATCGTAGACATCCTCGTTCCAAATGCCCCGCCCGTGATGCAGTTTGCAAAGCTTGTGGCAAGCAAGGACATTTTCAGAAGGTTTGCAGGTCTGCGCCATCTACGAAAAAAGGTCCATCTTCAGTTAACTCTATAATTTCATCTCTCGTTGTGGCTTCAGCACCTCAAAGTCTCACTGATGCTGTTACGCAGCTTACTGTCAATGGGAAATCAATGCAAGCTCTAGTGGATACCGGAAGCAGTGAGAGCTACATCTCTTCCTCAGTTGTTCGTAAGTATAACTGGAAAGTCCATAAGTCTCGAAACAGAATCACAATGGCGAGTACGAATCTTACTAGTCATACTGAAGGACATTGTTTTCTATCCATCTGCTATAAAAACCACACTTATGATCTATTCAAATTTTCCATTCTTCATAATTTATGTGCAGACGTCCTTCTTGGACATGATTTTTTAAAACTTCACAAACACATTGAGATTCCTTTTGGGGGATCAAAGCCGCCTTTTTCTCTCTGTGGTCTACCTTGTGTTCGCGTCGACCTGCCTACTCTGTTTGAAAATCTTTCAAAAGACTGTAAACCGATCGCGATAAAATCCCGGCGTTATTCTCGTGAAGATGAAAGTTTTATTTCCACCGAAGTCAACCGGTTACTGCAAGAAGGTGTTATTGAACCTTCTAATTCTCCTTGGCGAGCTCAAGTTCTTGTTACGTCAAACGAACGCCATAAAAAGAGGATGGTAGTTGATTATAGTCAGACAATCAATCGATTCACTTTTCTGGATGCTTACCCATTACCTAGGATTGACGAAATGATAGAAAAAATCGCACAATATGACATATTCAGCACTCTTGATCTGAAGAATGCTTATCATCAAATTGCCCTAAGGAACGAAGATAAACCATATACTGCTTTCGAGGCTTGTGGGAAACTTTACCAATTTTGCCGAATTCCTTTTGGTGTTACCAATGGCGTAGCTTGTTTTCAACGCATTATCGATGAATTGATCAGTAAAGAACAACTCACAAGCACGTTTGCCTACATTGACAATGTCACTATCTGCGGCAAAACTCAGGAGGAACACGACAAAAATCTAAACAAGTTTATGGTAGCAGCACGCAATTATGGAATAACCCTTAATGATTCCAAAAGTGTGATCTCAAGCAGAAGCATACAATTACTCGGTTATGAAGTTTCAAAGGGGTTATTAAACCAGATCCCGATCGGCTAAAACCTCTTCGTGATCTAGAACCACCCACAGATATCAAATCTCAACAACGGGCCGTTGGATTATTTGCTTATTATTCACAGTGGATCCCTCGCTTCTCAGATAAAATCCACCCATTGGTAAATAATCGGATTTTCCCTCTTGATATCGAAACTCGAAATGCTTTTGACAAACTGAAAGACGACTTAGAACGTGCAGTCGTTGTGGTAGTTGATCCGAAAGCACCCCTTGTTGTTGAAACAGATGCTTCAGATGTCTCAATTGCAGCTACATTAAACCAGAATGGTAAACCTGTCGCCTTCTTTTCTCGAAGCCTCTCTCGAAGTGAGAAACATCATTCATCGGTTGAGAAAGAAGCCTATGCCGTGGTTGAAGCAATTCGTAAGTGGAAGCATTACCTTCTCGGAAATCACTTCAAACTTGTCACTGATCAACGTTCAGTAGCATTCATGTTTGACAAGATTCATAAAGGCAAAATCAAGAACGATAAAATAATGCGTTGGAGAATTGAGCTATCCCCTTATCAATATGACATCATTTATCGTCCTGGAAGGGATAATCAAGCTGCTGATACATTTTCCCGTAGTTTCTGCGGTTCCTTGCAGTCAGTGTGCGACTTGAAATTTCTCCATGACTCTATGTGCCATCCTGGAGTTGTCCGAATGATGCATTTTGTACGCTCGAGAAACCTTCCATTCTCCCTTGACGAGGTGCGCAATGTAACCAGTAAATGCGTGACATGCTGTGAGTTAAAGCCTCAATTTTACAATCCCTCTAATTTCAAACTCATAAAAGCAACCCAACCTTTTGAAAGGTTAAGCATCGACTTTAAAGGACCTCTACCGTCAGCTAGCCGCAATCACTATCTGCTCACGCTGATCGATGAATATTCTCGATTCCCCTTTGCATTCGCCTGCCCCGACATGTCGTCTCAAACGGTAATGAATTGCCTTTGCCAACTGTTTTCGATTTTCGGTATGCCTTCTTACATACATACCGACAGAGGCGCTGCTTTCATGTCTACCGAATTACGGGCATTTCTTCTGGAGAAAGGCGTAGCAACCAGTCGTACTACCTCATACAATCCTCAAGCCAATGGGCAGGTCGAGCGCCTCAATGGAACACTTTGGCGTGCCATCACTCTAGCATTAAGATCACGGGGCCTACCAACGGCACAATGGGAGTCTGTTCTACTCGACGCCTTGCATTCCATCAGATCTTTGCTCTGTACTGCAACGAACGCCACGCCACACGAACGACTGTTTACCTATAACCGAAGATCGACATCTGGGACAACTCTTCCTACTTGGCTCACTGTACCAGGACCAGTACTTCTCCGGCGGAGTGTTCGTCAGTCCAAATTCGATCCCCTGGTTGAAGAGGTGGAGCTATTGAATTGTAACCCGCAATTCGCTCACGTTCGCTTCGGTAATGGACGTGAAGATACAGTTGCTCATCATCTGGCACCCAAAGGCGAAGATATAGATCAAGTTGAAAATTCAATACCGGAGGGCGACGCAATTCCTGAGCAACAAGTAAATGGGGATGCGACCACTGATCCTAATATTCTTCGTGAAGAAAATACAACTGAAACGAACAACGGGCGTATTCTTTTGGAAAAACAACAACGTGTACGGCCTTACAATTTGCGTACCAGAGAAGCGTGACATAATGGCTCATTCCTTTTCAAGCCGCAGTGAATGTTGTGAACTTTTCTTATAATACGTATCTAGTCATATTCATATCTCTACCGCTATTAACACTCTTTTTTCCCTTTATATGTTTAAGCCATTCCGGCTTCATTGTAAAATGAATAAAGCCTAAATTCTTGGTTCATTCGTCTTTTCAAGATTCAAGCATCACTCATCGTTCTAAGACTCAGTCACCTTCGTAACAGTCATATACCTATCGTTTACAAAAATTATATTATTAATGCAATTCTTAACAAGGAATAAAGGTGCATCAAAATCAGGCAAACTTACTTGTTGTCCTGATCCCTTCGAGATACTTGGGCGCTTGCTTTTATCAATCGACATATTAGGGTTTGAAGCATTAGGATCAACTAATTCCGGTATTTGAATGTCGACCACGTTGATTCGGAAAGGATAGCCAGCATTCGCTGTTTTAACCTCAAGCAATAGTTGAACTAATCCAGATATTTCTACACAATGTTCAACTAGTGGAGACTCTCCACGAAGCTACACAACATGATAACTTAAAAAGAAGTAATTACCTTGATACGATCTTGAAGATAAAATTGGCATCCAGAAAGACTAATGCCTAACTGTCTTTCCAACAATTCAGCAACATCGTATAGTGTTTGTTCCACAGACACCACAACTTTAACCTGATTGTCTTGAGCAATATTGGCTATCTGATATCTATGGTCATCTGACCAAGACCAGTAGGGATCGTTAATACAACTAGGATCACTGTTCTGGAAATCCCACTCCAATGAAGAATGGATATTTTTTGGTGATTTACGGTTGGTTATTTTTGCCATAATTAATACGAAACAAACATTTCCTGTAAAACATTGAGGCAAATAACTGCGGTAAGTGGCAGGAAAAAGAATAGAGGAAATATCTGAAAATGTATTCTGGTAGGTTTCAAGAATATAGTCCGATAAACAAAAATAGACATAACTTCTTGTTCAAACTTATGGAGACTAAAACAAAACAACCCATTCTTATTGAAAGAAAATGTTTATCTAATGGTATTGTGAACGGTTGTATACTAATAATTCTATCAATTCAATTATGCTGCGTGACACATGATAGAGAATTCTTATTTCCTAGTTGTGCCTTGATCCAAGCCCTATACATATTTACTATGATTTATCGAATCCCAAAGAGAATCAAGACTTAATTTTTGGGTACTCTAAGTGTTAACAGATTTTAACAGCATCTTTAGCTGGAAATAATCCAACCAGCATCATTATTGCTATGTTGTTGCGCTAAATTCTATTGTTTGTGTAAAAACCTTAGCGTTTCTCGGCTTACACATAGAAGCTTTGAAATTGACATTGGTCTTTGGAGGGTGTATTCCTTCGTGGCTGGCTCCAAGTGAAATATATTCTACGCTGAGCGTTAAAATTCGCATACAAGATAGCATTCAGAAACTATACTCTATACACTATCTTACAATAAGCACGCATTCTTTTATGTACGTATGACTGCAATGACAAGAAACTCAATGTAGTTTAAATATAAAATGAACCAGATAGTACCGAAATATGTGATTACGTGGATCGTATACGTAAAACTGCGGTCAACTGACGGTTACTTAATTTAACATAACCACTGTTTATTCTAAAGATGAGGAATAATGAACTGACTACCGCTTAGGTGGAAGGAAGATAAGTATTGATCAGCGTCTTATGTAAGTACACTTTGTTAGATAACCACCCGTTATATTTTTGCAGATGCTAAAACAGCCCCTTACTTTTGGAAAAATTATGTCTTTCTGAAGGGAGTAAATACTCTAACCACATTAAACCACATGTTCACAGCCTAAAGAGGTAAGACAGTTTCCGCGAGAGAAATGATGAAAAGTTGTTAGAGGCTCATACTACGAATTCACCGGAAGCTGTTATACAAATAAGTCCAAGGAAGCGATAATTTACTTCAAAAGTAAAATGTGTCTGATAACGCCAATAAAGATCACGTTGGTTCACTGTCTTGTTTCGAAAATCACTTCATATATTAGGCAGTGATGATAAACATTCTTTTGAGGATATAGACACCCAGTTCAAGTTGCTGCACTTTGAAAGGTTAGACAAGGGAACACACAGAACAATATTACAATGGAGCATACAAGAGACAGTAACTAAATGACTAATAGTAGAATTGTGTACAAACATTCTATCCATCCTCGAAGTGGGCTGACTGACTTTTCAAAATAGAATTTGGCACAGAAGTGTATCAGTTAGATTTGGCACTCGTAAACGAAGATACAAGAGAAAAAATAGACTCAGAAAAATGATAGTAAGAACAGGTGGGAAAGAACAACAGGATTTGACAGATATAGCAGATCACAAAGAATGAATGCATCTGCACCACTGTGAACATCATTGAGCCATATCATCAATCATCTCCAGTTAATGGCCTTTAGAATCCCAAGGACCCCAACCATGAAGTCTACACTGGCTAATGCCATGTTCCCGTTTGACAACCACTAACTCTTCTCCAACTCCATCGGTCCTTTGTCAAATAACATTCCCCGTCAAGGAAGACAATGGCTAGGAATACGTAAACAGGTTTTATCCATCTCAACTGATGTCTGTCTGTCTGTCTGTTTTCGACATAAAACTTTGCACAAATGTGCAGAAGTTCAAGTCGCCACATTCCGTGTAGCACGCGAAGCAAGAGAAGAAAGTACAAGAAAAGCATAATAGAAACAGTGAGCAGAGGTGTGAGACAAAGGAGTAATAAAGAAAAACAAAACAGTTTCATTGGAGATCATAAGTCACAAGGAGTGGATGCATCTCCGCCAGCCATTGAGAACGATTTTCAGCCATGTCACCAATTGTTTCCAACCATTGATTTTTACCGTCCCGAGGACCCCAGCCTGGAAGTCTACACCTTCCTAGGTGGCTTAGACCAACTGTTGTGGATTTCATTGACTGGTGCCAAGTTTTTGTTTGACCGCCGCCAGCTCTTTCCCAGCCTGACCCTATATCCGCTAATATTGCTCGTCGAGGAAGGCGATGACTAGACATGCATACGTAACACATGTCCTAACCATCTCAGTCTTTGTAGCTTCACGACTTCGTCGATTGATTTCCCCTGTTTACCTAGAACTCTACGCCTAACCTCCATGTTGCTCACCTTATTATGCCACTTTACACGGGAAATAGACCACAGGCACCTATGATCAAAGACAGCTAGTCAGTGTATTCATGTCTTCCACTCTTAGTGGCCAGGTCTCACAACCATAAAGGAGGACGGAGCGGACTGATGAGCAGTACACCCGCCCTTTGGTCGATAGTCGAACATCTCGTCTACGCCATAGTCGGCGTAAACTGGCAAATGCGAAGCTAGCCCTCTGTATCCGTGCTGAGATTTCGTCAGAGATCAACCCGTTAGCACTGGCTCATGGTACTTCCCAAATAAGTGAAGCGGTCAACGTGCTCTACCACTTCAATTCCTATTTCTAAACTAGGCGTCGATGTAGTCCAGTCCTGTATCATCATCTTGCATTTGGCGGGAGCGAATCGCATGCCAAACATTCGTAGATTGAGGCTCAAGGTGTTTAGAAGGATCTGCATTTCGTCAGCGTCTTCGCCTAGAAGGACTATATCGTCTGCATATTCCAAGTCAACGAGATTATTCCCTGGTAGCAAGTCAATCCCTGAGTCGCTGAAGTCACCCAGGGTTAAGTCCATTAACACATCTATGATGAAGTTGAATAGAAAAGGAGATAATGGGCATCCTTGACGGACACCACTGGTCGTCATCAGTTCAGATGACAACTCGCCGTAAGCCCTCACCTGGCTGTATGAGTACGAGTAGAGTGCCTTAATCAGTGCAATATATTTTCTCGGAATTCCCTTGACAGCCAAGCATCTCCAGAGAACTCAACTGATGTAGCTTCACAACCTCATCGATTGACTCTCTCACTACCTGACACTAAACGCCTAACCCCAATATTGTCAACCGGCTATACCACCTAACAAGGGTATTGGGTTTTTATTAGGTATTATAAGTCACAAGGAGTGGATGCATCTGCACCCGCCATTGAGAACGATTTGAGCCATAACACCAACTGTTTCCAACTATTGGTTTTTACCGTCCCGAACACCCCAACCAGGAAGTCTACACCTTCCTACGTGCCTTAAACTAACTGTTGTGGATTTCATTAACTGATGAAGCCATGTTTTGGTTTGACCATCACTCTTGCAACCTGACGCTATGTCAGCTTACATCGCCCACTGTCGAGGAAGGCGATAGCCAGGGTTGCATGCGTAACACTCGTCCTAACCATCTCAATCAGTGTAACTTCACAGATTCGTCTATTGATTTCCCCTCTTTACCCAACAACTCGACCGGTGCCTGTGGTGTTCGAAAAACCTCATTTTTTCGGCAGGACAGTATCTGTTTACTCTAAGACAACCAATGCGCCGTGAAAAGTCATTCAATAAATAGCTAAAGTTGATTAGAATCACATCCACTCGTCATCTCTGAAGGACAACCTGCCATAAGCTCTCACAGCTACATGCAAGACTAATGCAAGTGCCACTGATTTTGAATTGAAGATATACAACGAAGTACTACATGACAAGCTAAAGGAACACGTTATTTAGAAACTTCTATACACGTGACATCTATATTCATTACAGTTATGACACCGAGTGAAGCGTGGTAATATTTGGGGACAAAAAATCACATACTACTATTAAGATAGAAGTCACAGGCAGTGACGAAGTAACTAGACAAGATTAGAAGGCAATTACACTTTGCAATTCATACGAAATGAAAAACTGTTTTTTGAATCCTCTATGACTGTATAGTTTGACATGTGCTGAAAACTCACGGAATATATTTTAAAAAATATTAGGTCAGTATCCTCAATACACATCACGCCTTAAAAAGTTCCTTAGACTCACAGAAAACATTTAACTGACGCAAAAGAAAAAACAATTATACTCGATCTGAATTTCCGTTAGAACCCCGCCATTTCAGAAAACGCCTTTAAAACCCCTAAATTGAGTACTTTAGGATTTATGTTGAACTTATATAAGAAACTAAGGTAAACACAAAATAAGAGCTTATATACCCAAAAAACAAACACCCGAAAAATGTGCCAAATCAACCTACCCGCCTCAACAATTTGAAGAACAATTTAAACAAAAGGCTGAGGAGTGTTGCCAGGATGTACATTCTATAAAAGTAAATAAATATATTTTGCTAGAGGGCAACATACACTAAACACTGTGCCACTCACCAATTATTTTGTTGTTTCAAATAACACTTACTGAAATTAGTGGTATAAAATTTGAGTCTTTATCCTTCCAGTTAAAATCGTCTGTAAAACCCAAGTATAGTTGGCATTCATTGAAGTCTAATAACTAAGGATCACGGTGGTGTTAATTTAGATCCAGGATAGTTTTCAACGCATTCATGGGATTTGCACCAATCCATGAACATTTTTCCATACCTTCAGCTGGTATCCACCATAGCTTGAAATGAACTGACTTTTGGGTCTTACGGTGTGACCTTTAGTTCAGGAAAATCACCTCAGGTGTGGTTGATGAATCTCTTCTTACTGCAGTTTGTTGACTGATTGTATCAGACATCTGAATTTATTACTTTTTTTCCATTTCTAATGAGGCGTTTTGCATGGGTGCTCAAAAACGTTACGAGAGTCCCCAAACTCTAGGTGAATACCAACATAGCCTATCTTGGTTTTATGGAGGAAAAAATATCATCATCTGCTACCTACTCGTTTAGAGACAAAATGAAACATTATATGAAGTTCGCTCTGTAATTGGATCAGGTCATTTAGATATATCCGCCCTGCAACGCAGAGCTACGACTGGCTTACTCATAAATATTCCTTTGTACAACGCACCACCTTGCTGTCAAAAATGCCTCCAAAAAATAGCATAAATTGTGTAACTTACAGTCTTTCGGAACTGGAGATACGTCAAATGAGCTATAAGTGGTTGTAGTATAAACTGAGGGCGTTGATAAAGCATATCCCCTATTTGAAGTGGCGCCTCTGGCTTAACCTTGACGGCATTTGCGCGGTTTCGTTGATTCGAGTTGGAGCTAGTCGTCCAGCAAACGCAGTAGACGCGATTTCGGTGCTTATTTTGCTCTTTTTGGATGAATTTATATGAAAATTATTGTTCGATATTGTTCTTGAACACTTACTTATTGCTTGTGTGAC